ATTACAACCATTGGTTCTTTGTGGTTCCTCCTAAGGCAATATATAAATATCTAGCTTTTGTCCCCTCAAATGTTCTGGACTGGATAAGAATAATAATGGAATCTGAGAGGGGATCAAAAATAATTTTTACAAGAGAGAGCAATGTGATATCAAAAGTTATGACATGTATAATTAAGAACTTACAAGGAGAGGGAAACAATTAGCAGAAGGTTATTTGAAGAAATAATGGCTGAAGCTATTTCAAATTTGTTGAAAAACACCAAGTTAAATTCAGGAAGCCCAGCAAAACCCAAATAAAAAAATAAGACTAAATCACATGTGGGCACATTGTAGTCATACTTCTGAAACAGATAGAAAATATTGAAAGCAATGAGAGAATAACAATATATGCCTAGAAGTTCATTAGAAATAATAAAGTGTAGGAGATAATACAATATTCATCTCAAGTAAAAAACCCTGCCAACCCAGAATTCAATATCATTAATAGTCTTCCACAACAAAAGTAAATTAAGACATTTTCAAACAACTACTCAGAACATCCATCACCAGCAAGCCTGCAGTGCAAGAAGTGCTTTTCGTGGATCCTCCACTTATGCTCACTCTACCAAAGATTTCCCATGGCTTCTTATGAGTACACGTAAAACATTAAGCACCTTTTTAAGAAGCATGTAGATATGTAAAAATACTTTGGGAGGAAATTGGGAGGTGTGCCACATCAGAATGTTAATATTAAAAAATTTCTTTCTTACTTTTCTCCATTCTCCATGGTAAGAAATACATATGTGTGGATGGGATACTCAACACTGGAAGGAAAAGGACATTCCAGTGTCTTCTTCCTCTAGGCCCCAGTAGGTTCCCCAAATCTAGGAATCAAACAGACTATCTTGTCAAACCTTGACAACCCCTTTAAAAATGTCTTCAATTCCAAAAGAGACAACCATTTATATGTCAAAAGTAACACATTGGATGAGGAGACTGGGATTCTTGACCAATAAGAGAAAGAACAGTAATTGCAACTTGATTTCAAAAATGTAAATGCATGTCCAGAAAGACTTACTCTTGTTTAGTGTCCATACATGACATGTATTGAATTTTTAAAACCCTGTTTTAAAATGTAAATATCTTTTTGCACAACAAAGGAAACAGTCCACAAAAACAAAAGACGCCTGATAGAATGGGAGAAGATATTTGTAAATGTCTTATCAGATAAAGGGCTAGTTTCCAAAATCTGTAAAGAACTTATCAAACTCAAAACCCTAAGAACAAATAATCCAGTCAATAAATGGGCAGAGGACATGAACAGACATTTCACCAAAATGGATATGCAAATGGCCAACAGACACATGAAAAAATACTCAACATCACTTGGCATCAGGGAAATCCAAATCAAAAACTCAATGAGATACCACCTCACACCAGTCAGAATGGCTAAAATTAACAAGTCAGTAAAGGATAGATGTTGGTGAGGATGTGAAGTAAGACGAACACTCTTACACTGTTGGTGGAAATGCAAGCTGGTGCAGCCACTCTGAAAAACAGTATGGAGGTTCCTCAAGAAGTTGAAAATAGAGCTACCCTATGACCCATCAATTGCACTACTGGGTATTTACCCCAAAGATACAAATGCAGTGATCCAAAGGGGCACCTGTACCCCAATGTTTAGATCAGCAATTTCCACAATAGTTAAAGTATGGAAAGAGCCCAGATTCGTAGATGAATGGATAAAGAAAATATGGTATTTATACACAATGGAATAGTACTCAGCCATCAAAAAAATGAAATCTTGCCATTTTCAACAACATGGATGGAATTAGAGGGCGTTATGCTAAGCAAAATAAGTCAATCAGAGAAAGACAATTATCATATGATCTCACTCACATGTGGAATTTAAGAAACAAAACAGAAGATCATAGGGGAAGGGGGGGAATAAAACAAGATAAAATCAGAGAGGGAGACAAATTAGAATACTCTTAAGCATAGGAAACAAACTGAGTGAGGGTGGGGAGATGGGGCAACTGGGTGATGTACATTAAGGAGGGCATGTGATATAAGGGCACTGGGTATTACATAAGACTGATGAATCACTGACCTCTACCTCTGAAACTAATAATACACAATATGTTAATTGAATTTAAATAATTTAAAAAAAAGAAAAAAGAAAACTAATGACATAAAAAAAGAATGACAGAGGAACCCAAAAGAAATTAATAAAAGCAGCTAAATATTGAAAAAAATTTAAAAAATGAAATGCTAATATCTTTGATGTATATGATAAGTGGTTAAGTCAGATGATATTTCTGATGCCCAGTAAAACTAATATATTGTAACAATAGAGATTGGATGGGTGAAAGGAAGAAGACAGTTTTAGAGCTTCAGTTTTCTTGGAAATCAGTCTTTATTGAATAAATTTGAAAAAAATATGAAGATATCACATATAGCAAGAACATCATGTGATTAGGCTGTATTTTAAGGATCTTCAGGCATTATATTTTTGATTTCTTACATCAGCCCTATGAGGTGGTTATAGTTATGGTCATCACGTCACAGGTGATGAAAACGAAGCATCAAGTTCTTAAGTCAAAATGTCTAATCTAGTGAATACTTGTCTGCCAAGAGGTACTGTTCAAATAATCTTCAAGTAACTATGTGAGTAAGATAATATATCTATCATATTTTCCAGGGCAGGAAACTGACCCAGAGCAGTCATGTAACTGACTCACAAGCCTAGAGTCTGCATTTAGAAATTACATTGAAGAGGCCTGATTTCACTGCTGATGTCCTTAAACTTTACCCTGTACTACTTATTCCCATTTGTAAATTGATCAAGGATCCTGGTGCAAGCATCTATATGATGCATGCCAAGCCTCGATCAACTAAAATCCAGCCAAAGCACAAACTGGTTAATGAGAAATAAATGCTTATTTTTCAATGTGAATACAATCTTGGGTTATTTGTAGCACAACTTTAGCAATTAGTTACAGCTACCATTTACATATTATATGAGTTTGATTTTGAATATTCATATAATTTCTCTACCAGAGTGTAAGGAATCAGTACAAAGAATATAAAGAATACGTGTAGGGGTGCCGGCTCAATTGGTTAAGCTTCTGCTTCAGCTCAGGGCATGATCCCAGAGTCCTGGGATCCAGCCCTGCATCCAGCTCTCTGCTCAGCTGAGAGCTTTCTTCTCCCTTTCCCTCCGCCTGCCGCTCCCTCTGCTTGTGCTCTCTCTCTCTCTGCAATAAAAATAAATTAAAAATCTTAAGAAAAAAAAAGGATATGTGTAAAAAAGAATATGTCTATATCAAAGAGATAAATATATATGAAATATGAATTTATTTTGCAAGTAATAATTAAGTTCAATCTCTCTCCCTCTTGTAATTGAACTAGAGTAGAAATATCTGAATCAATATCAAATTACTAAATTTGTCATGAGTTCTGGCAATAACTAGCTGTTTGACTCACACAATATCTTTATACTTTTATTCTTGTTTTTTTCATTATTTAACATTTTATTTTTTGCATCAAAGTATTTTCTAGACTGGGTAAGGGTGACAGAAGTGGGGACTTGGGGAATTTAATAAAACAAGATGTCTTCTAAAATATCTGAAATCCAGGTAAGGAAAACAACACACAAGAAAAAGTAGTGAAGGACACTGGTTATTAATGATTGAGAAAAACAATCTCTACCATAAAATGAACCTAATTTTGATAGTGCTATAAGAAAAGTGATTCAGGAGATAGCTGTTTATTCCATTCTCTGAGGATGTGGGACAGATGTGAATAACTCTTATACAGCAACTCTGTGGTTGTTGCATGATAACCCTAAGTGCTTGTTAACAATTGAGTACTCTCAGCTCTAAATCTACTCATCCCTCTGTGCCCTGTTCTCAGATAATGGAGCTAGATCCTATAAACTTCTCTTCCTTGTCAGCTCACATGAGGTTGAGTTTTGTTGGTAAAAGGCAACGGAGAAACACTGCAACAAAAAAAGCTCTTTTTCCTGGTTTCATGGTGTTTTCAGGCTGTTTGGCAGCTCTGGCTTGGTTGCCACCTGCAGGCATCCAGGAAGTCCTATGTATTCAGCCTCTAGCAAGTTTTTGTTGCCAGTAGCAGTCAAAGTTTCCTGCCCTTGCTCTATGCCTCCCAACAGTCTGGCAGTTTCCTCCTGCTTGCCAGTCACAGCCTGAGATCCAACCTCACCAAGTTCATGTGTAGATGATGGAATTGCTGTGTCCCAGGCCAATCCCATAAGCATGCCTACCATGAAACTGTATGTAGCCACATTGTCTTCAATGACATCTAAATCCCATCTTCAGAGAGTAGACGTGGCTGCCCAGTGATTCCTCCTTTGTGTACTCTCCTTCAACCCTAAGAAACTCTTTATGATTTTTAATTTTAGTAGCATTTCTTCTTAGTAGGCTTTCCCTTACAAATAGATAATAATTGTTTACATGAATCTTCCCCTAGTTTCTGTCTTCAGACCGGTTTTCATTCTGATTGATAACCACACCACCCTGGGTTGTTCAACTCTTATTTGCAGCCCTTTAAGGGCTAGGACAAATCAATTCATTTGGAAAGATGAGTGGATTGATTACCTTATTGAAGACTTTACAATGATAGTGCTTGATATTATGATGTGCAATTTATCGATAATTTAAATAGCAAATGCTAAAGAAATGCATAATATGTACCTGGGCATATATATTTTACATATAAATAAAGATTGAAAAAAAAAGTTCTACAACACCAAAGGTGAAACCTCAGGTACAATTTGGACTTGGCATGATTCTGATGCATCACTGTGGATTCATCCTTGGTAACAAATGAAGCATTCTAGTGAATGATGCTGATAACGGGAGAGGCCATGCACGTGTGCATACAGGGATAATATAGGACAGCTCTGTACCTTCCTCTTAATTTAGTTGTAAACCTAAAATTGCTCTAAAAATTGTATTTGAAAATATTCTGAGAAAATAATTCTATGGCTTTTGAAGAAATGAGATATATGTTCTTTATAGATGGCGAGATAGCTTAGGTAACTAAAATGCCTAGTGCTTACAAACATATTTTTTTAGATCTAAGCAGGGTTCAAAAGAAGTTTTGTTTGAGTCAAAGTTGAAAAATGGACAATCCTTGTCACTCTCTGAAGAAACTGACGACCTGAAATACAGAGAATTATATCTCATTACTCTTAAAAATATAAATCACAACATTTTGAAGACCAATTTATTTAGACTAATAGCTGTACATCTAAATCTGAATATTTCCCATATTTTTCTATAGAAACACTTTAACACATGTGTTATAGAATTGTTCACATACTGCACTTATTCTTTGTAAGATTAGTCCTCTTAAGGCATAAAATACAAAAGTTGTCAAGAAACTTACATTTTAGGTAAGAAGGTCAAGTCTTTTGGCCACAAAGATGAATTAATACTGATGTTCTGGGAAACTGCACTAATCCATGAAGAACGAATGAGGTGGCTGAACAAACACTATGAGAAAACAAATTCTTTTTAGAAGTCAAATAAGAGCTCTTATTTGAATTTGTAGTAACAAACACAGTTAATTCTTTCTTACTTTATAGAATCTTTCAAATTTTAATATAATATTACACACTGGACATGTTATAAAAATATCTTAGTGGAAGTAAGTGAGGAGGACACCCTGAGAAAGGTAACAATTTCAGGGTTTTGATAATTTATCAAAGGTTAATAATATTTTGTGAAATATCTATTTTTTGAAAAAATTCTTAGAGATTCTTTTTTTTTTAATTTATTTATTTGAGAGAGAGAGAATGAGAGACAGAGCATGAGAGGGAGGAGCAGACTCCCCGCTGAGCAGGGAGCCCGATGCGGGACTCGATCCCTGGACTCCAGGATCACGACCTGAGCCGAAGGCAGTGGCTTAACCAACTGAGCCACCCAGGCGCCCCCTAGAGATTCAAGTAAGAAGAAAACATATCTGTAGTCTTCTTGCCCAGCACAGCTCCCATGCCTCTCTATCTGCCCCTCGGAGCTCAAGGATCCAGAGACTTGTGGTTCTATAATTTGGAGAAGCTGCAAAAGCAATGGTGCTGGTGCCACAGGGGAGACTTGATTAGCATCGGGGAAGGGGGTGAAATAGCTTATTGACTTTTCAGTGCAGCATGATGATTTTGCATGGTAATGAATGAGGAAAACCCATGTGTGTCTGGAGCAGTTGACAGCCCCGCTTGCCTGGATCTGGGAGCCTGGGTGGAGTTGTTTTCCATCAGACTCGGGGCTGTGACCCAAGAGACCCTAGATCTTGAATGGTGTGACTTCCCACGGACCCTGCTCTAGCCTCTCGAGCCAGGACTGCAGATGCTGCCTCTCCAGAATCCTGTTGCGGACTTCTCCAGCCTTTGGGAGCTAGTCAGTGAGGCCCCAAATGACCCAGGGCTCAAACGCAGGTAAGGGAAGTCTCCTGGCCTGGTCTGGCCCAAGGGGATAGGCTACATGGTCATTAGGAATATTTCTCCTGCACTTTTTCTCAGGTATCAATAAAATTGTTTTCATTCCAGAAAAAAAAAGTTGGAGGTAGCAATTTTCCTGTCAAGCACTGTGACCCTCTTAAATATAATAGGAAAAATACTGTTAGTGAAAGTACAACAGAAGAGTTGACATGAACTCCCTATACACTCTTGGCTGATGGAAAAAAATATATACACATGGAGAAGAGACCAAGATGAACCCAGTAGAAAGTAAAAGCAGAAGGAGACTTGAGAACTGATATTCAAGTTGTGAGCACTCCTCTCTCTCTCTCTCTCTCTCTCACACACACACACACACACACATCACATGGCAGAGTGTGGAAGCCCTACTGACTTGCAGTTCTGGAACACAGTCTTTTAAAAAAAACTTGCAAGTAACATCTAAGCTACAAAATCACAAGGGCAATCCCTAAGAAAGTAGGCTAAAAGAGTAAGAATTTGGAAATAATGAACAAAAATATTAGCAGGCAGATTATAGGGTAGAAGATCCAGCAGTAAAGTGTACGCAACTTATACAAAATATAAATCTAAGAATATGAAATAGAATGCATGTTTACTAAATTGCATTATCAAAAGTATCTACCTAAAAGATTAAAAAAAAAACATGAAAAGAAATGGCAAATATCTTCTACACTAAGGGAATGTATGGGTCAATATAAACTTCTACTGGGATAAGATATTATATTTACTAGAAAAAAGTATTTTAAGTACTGTTTATAAATATACGGAAATTAGAAAGAAAACAGTTCAGATAATTAAATTAACATGATGGCAGCAATATAGCAAATAGGAAATATCAATAGAGAAATAAAAGTATATGAATAAACCACAGAGAAATTCTTAGTTTATCATTGTATACCTAAATGAAATTCACTAAATGGGCTCTCCAGAGAATTTGAGATACAGTAGAAAAAATTGATGAAATTGAGGAAAGAATAACAGAATTTATTCATCTCATAAAATGAGAAAGAAAAAAAAAAGAAAAATTAACAGAGTTCAGAAACCTTCAAAACAGTATCAGGAAAACCAGCATAGTTCTGGGGCGCCTGGGTGGCTCAGTCGTTAAGCGTCTGCCTTTGGCTCAGGTCATGATCCCAGGGTGCTGGGATCAAGCCCCACATTGGGCTCCCTGCTCGGCGGGAAGCCTGCTTCTCTCTCTCCCACTCCCCCTGCTTGTGTTCCCTCTCTCGCTGTGTCTCTCTCTGTCAAATAAATAAATAAA